GATTAAAGATTAATAAGAAATTTTAATTATTAATTTTATATAATTTTTCTTTCTACTGGATTAACCTGTTGTTACACTTTTGTTACTTTATTATGTTAATGGTGGGAATTTAATTTAAAAATACATTGTTTGGTTGATGAAAAGTTATGGATTATTATCCATTTCATATTATATTTATGTCCTGAAATTGTGGCATTATTATCCTTGAGTTAAGTATTTAATGCTCCTAGTATTAATCTTGTGCCATTATAGATAAAATTTTGGCACGTTGGTTTAGTTTTATTGATGTTAATTGTGAAAACTATCGAAATGATGAATTTTTGTAGATTTAGCTTAATAATTATTGATTATGTAGGGTTCTTAGACAGCATATGATTTATACCCTATATGTCGACTAAATAATAATAGATCATATTCCTTTAATGGCCAGTTTAAATATGCTCGTTGTGCATGATTGTGGTTGAAAGAAAATTTGAGGTCGAGGGTTATTTATATTTAATAAAATAAGAGTTTTAGTCAAGGAGTATTCATTTCATTATTTTTTAAGTATTATTTATTGAGTTTCATGTTTGAATATTTATTATTATTATTAATTATAATATTCCTTGTGTGGTAGTCTATAATTATTCTTCTATTAGACTATGATGAGCTCTGTGACACTTAACTCCTGATGCTAGTTAAGATAGCGTATTTAGAAGGTGGATTTATATAGATTGAATGAGTGTAATTCCTAAATATGTATCAAAATATACCTAAATCAAATTTTTCTAGTGAAAGAATGCCTCAGAAAATGAAATTTAAAAAAAAATACTTTGAGAAAATAAAATAGGATTATTCCTGAACGTAGTCCTAGATTAACAACGGATGTTATACCTTGATATGTTCCTTCTCGTGTAATATCTCGTCATCATTGAATTATAGTTAGTAAAATAATTAAAGTTTCAATAAATAATAATGAATCTTATTGATGAAATATACTGATTATTCCTGTTATATTGTTATAGCTCCAATCCTCCTGTAACGGGTCATGGTCTGCATTAGAGAGAAAATGGATGATTGTGTGTAACATTAATTTACTTTTCTTGAATATAATGTAGTTAATCAGCAAATTACATATATTGAATAATTGGAAATCTAATTTCAAGAAATTAAAATTAGAATTTGTGATAGGATGTAGATTTGGTTAAAATAGTTGAATTTATAATTATTCCTGTATTACCTTAAGGTTAAAGAGTGACCTCAATGCATATTCGGCCTATCGAACCCACTGTTAATGACGATTACATTCTGATTGTTTTCAATACACACTTGAAGGGTATAAAGTAGTGGTTCCCTTGAGGAATTAGGTGGCAAATATATGGAGAGTATCATTAATTCATCTATAATATAAATGTTAATCAGAATGGTAATGCTAAAAGATCTGAATGTAAGTGAACTGATCTTGTGGAAAATAGTACCTAGGAAATTATTAATAAAATAATTGAAAGAATAGGAATGAATAAAAAAGATCTTTCTATATTGTTCCGATTAGCAGTGTCTTAATTCGAATTAATAATTTATTGATTAATAAGTTTCAAAATTACTAATTTAATTCTAATCGATTTGGATGATTGATTAGTTCTAAAAGGGTTCCTTAATCAGTTTATAAGGTTATATATGTTTATGTTGATCGAATGATGAAAAGAGATTATATATGTTTTGATTGAACTTTTATAGTATGTAGTACCAAATATTGTCTATGTTTTTAATGTCTACCTGTGATAAGATATGTTGGAGTATAATTTTTCCAACGTGATTGTTTCATATGAAAGAAGGGGTACACTATTGTTATCAACATTTTTTCTCCAGATCAAATACAAAAGAGTTTCTCCAGTAATAATTAATTTCCCTCAGTTTTGGTTGAAGGTTTAAAGTAAAACACTGGGCGCATTCCCCAGTCTTGTGAATAACCTAGAGCTGGTGACCAAAATGTCATAAAACCCGCAAAAAAACAAATAGTTCATAGGAGCAGATTTTCTAAAGAAAATAGGTAATACATGAGTAACGTAATTAAATTAACCTATTGTTTATGAATATTTAATCTTGAATAGATTTATTAACAAACAAAGTTAATGCAAATTAATTTCTGTGGAGTCATCATTTGCCTATTCCAGATTCAGTTGTCTTGACAGGACTAATGTAAAGGAAAACCAAATAGGAAAACCAAAATATAATAAAAAACAAAAAACATCTTAAATTTGTGTTTATATAAAGCTATCCAAATTATTGCAGAATGTAAAAAAAATTGCCTATATACACAATTCAACAAAAAATACCAACATTTAATTCAATATAAAATAGAAATGCAATGAAGTCAAATTTTCTCCTTTAAAACCGGCAACTGCCAACGAGACATCACATTTGGTGTAATAATTTGGGAATGCAACAGCTCTCACTAGTTCCGATAAATGAAAGGAAAGAGGTTGTGTCCCCCATGCTGGGAAATATTGCCTGGGATTCGTTATATTTTCACCCCCACGAAGGCAAACAAGACATTGTATCCAGAAATGCAAAGAAAGTTTAATGACATGCTCTCTCAATAATTCTTCATTCTCACACCACCTAATAGGTGGACGCATGGTGCGTTTTTTTATACATGTTGCCCCAGGAGCTAATCCATGTACCTATTAAATAACTACACAATTATACCTAGCAATTCTCCACACCTCAGACATATAATGGACCACATCACACAATTATAAACAATGGTTTTCAGGCATAATCCTTACACACTGGGGCACAAAAGCTCACAGAATATATAACAAAATATCCAATCCCTGTACATTAAAGGACCCCACCATTACACTTCCGTTTTCCTCGCATAATGCCTCCAAGAGATTATTAGCCATATTTCTACAAACAGAACGATTTTTACCCACGTGAAGAAGCCGTTTGTTACCCACGTGCCGAAATCATGAGCATAATAAAACCTAAACTTATTTCATCCTGTCTTACCATTCAAGATAATCAGATTGCCCAAATCTACAACAACACTTTAAAAAAAAAAACAGAAATCGCCACAAACACAAAAAACACACAAAGCGTTCGCTACACCGCGCTATACGGAAGTACGCGCTACAAGGGAAGCAGAGAACTTTGGAAAAGCCACGGCTGAGTCGCAGGTCAAAGATAGTGCTAATCTTGGCTGCCAATAGCAAACACCCACCTGACGTCACCGTTAGCTAGACGATGGGCGGGGGGAAACTGCAGTGAATCTAGGGTCTCCCATGTCTGAGAGCAGCGGTGAGCAGGAGTAAGGTTAGGTTAGACCAGTGCTGGGTGAAGCATGGTGGAGCAAGGATGGTGTGGCTAAGGTGTAGTGTTTGAAAAATAATTTTTGTTAGTTCCTGGAACGCTAGACTGTTCTCGTCCCAGTTGATATAACATCTCTTTACCTCGTGTTCTACGCTGTGCGTTCTTTCTGTTCCTCGATGTTTTCTTTCTGTTTCGTTCGACCCGAAGCATAACGTTCCATAAGATAGTGTGATTATTTGTAAGCAAAATGTCGAGGCCGGAACATCGAGCCCCTCCAGAATTGGTAAGAAGTTCCTTCATATTATTAATTCCTACCATGATATTCTGTATATATAAATAATAATAATCTTTTTTTTTTTTTAATTTTGTAGTTTTATAATGAAGAAGAAGCAGGAAAATACACATCAAAGTACGTGATCTCTGTGTAGTTTTTAAGTTAACATTATTTTTATTTTTGTTAGGTTTGTCATAATATTTCTTATTCATTTTTTGTAGCTCTCGGATGATTGACATTCAGGTGCAAATGTCAGAAAGAGCTGTGGAATTATTGGCCCTTCCTCAAGATGAACCGTGTTTGTTACTAGATTTAGGATGTGGTTCTGGACTGAGTGGAAGTGTTTTAGAAGATCAAGGGCATACTTGGATTGGAATGGATATATCTCAAGCAATGCTTAGTATGTTTACTGATGTATTTTTTGAGGAATTGCCTCCTGGATAAATTTCTATTTTAATCATTCTCAGAAATTATTTTCACTTATTGAGAAAACCTTGGAAAGCAAGAGAAATGAGAAAGCAAGGCAAAGAAAAAAAATACTTTCAGTTCAACTGAAATTTTTCTCTTGCGCTTCAGATATGACAGGCATGCATGGCAAGTGGTTTGGTTTGTTTGAACCTTTATAATTGTGATTTTTATTGCTTTTCATTGTTTTAATGTGTAATCTTACTTTTTATAACCCATCATACTTGTTTCAATGTTTTCATAATTCTATTTGTTATTAAAAACTTATGTTAATGTTTGTGTGCAGGACAATTTTTTATCATAATTTTTCACAATTTCTGACATACAATGGTTGTTTGTTTTCTTTGATGGACAGTGAATGTAGTTTTACTGCCCTTCAAATATCATACAGATTGTGACATTAAATATATCTCACCACCTTGTTCCAGTCGTAAGTTCAACAAATTCATGGGACTACTTTCCCCGTTTTCCAATTGGCAACCACGGTTAAGACCCATAGTTAGCATGCTTAACATAATAAATCTTCAAAGAATTTACAGCTTCATCCCCAAAGCAAGTCTGAAACTCCTAGTTACAGTCAAAAACATTACAATAACATTACTCTTGTTATTAAATTATAACTTAAAAAATGATTGAGACTTTACTCTGTAATTCTCTTCTTCTGCTTTCCCTTTGTCAGTATCGGGATAGCCATTTGACATATTCCCCCCTGTCTTGCGTTTTATTTCCCGTGTTGGTCCATTCCTATGACATACATCTGCTATGTAGCCTTCCCAGGTTCCCCTGGGTCTTCCAGTAAGTCTTTTCCCCTATGACCTCATTTTCAACATCTGCTTGGTTTCCTGTTCTATTTCATTCTATTCACATGTTCGAGCCATTTTAGCACATTGTCTTAAGTAGTTTTCATTAATGGTGTGACTTTTAGTTCATCCCTGATAATAGTATTTCTTCTTCTGTTTCTTCTATTTTTGCCCTTCTATTCTGTGTAGAAACTTCATTTCTGCAGTTGTTGTTCTACTTTCTGTATTGCTGTTGTTCTTCTTTTTGTATTGCATGGTAAACTTTCCTTTCTCTGAGTAACAATTTGTACATGTATCGACTTGTGGATCTGTAATTTAGTTTTAGTACCAACTTTAATTCATAAGAAATTTTTACTTTGAGAAAAGACTGAATTTGCCTTCTTAACACTTGTTCATTTCATCCTTATATTTGCCATTCTCTCATAGAATTGTACCCAGGTACACATTACTCTGAACCTGTTCCAATTCTTCTTACCCCCAGTTATTCCTCATTTCTTGTCTTTTATCACCTTTCCACATTATTTTACTCTTGCTAGTAATAATTTTCAGTCTTCATCACAAGTCCCCACTCCCTGACCATCTTCTGTAGTTCCCCTGAGTTTTTGGCAATGAGCAGTATACCATCTGCGTAAGTCAGTCGCTGTACCCATACTGGCCTTATCCATCAATATCCTACCATACATTTCATGGTACGTCTGTTTAATTATGTGATCCATGAATGTAATAAAGAATAGTGTGCTTAGGAAGTCACACTTTCTCACCTTTATTCATTTAAAATGTCTCACTATGTTGGTCTTCTGACCTCATGTAGCTTATACATTTTTATGTAAGTTTTTAACTACCTCTATCAATGTGTTTGGATTTTTTGCTTATTAAGTGATGACCATATTTCCTACCTATTGAATGCTGACGTAAGGTCTATAAAAGCAGTATACATGGTTTTCTCTGTAATTATATTTTTTATATATTCTATTTATTATCATATACTATTTTCTCTGTAATGGTCGGTTTTGTTTGCCCTTTAAATATTTCTTCATGTACCCAAATTCAAGCTGGGTTGTGGATGCCAATGCCAGATGAAGGTTATCAGCTGTTGTAGTGCAGAGGTGTAGCGTTATTAATCATTTACTTCCTGTAACACGTAACTTTCCTTGTAAGGTTAGGTCAATGGCATATAATTTTAAATTCTACTTCCTTAGTATCATCACATCCTGTTTTTAGATTTGTGTGTCTAATTTATACTGACAGATCTTAAGTGTCTTATTGTTTTTACAAAACAGATGTTGCTCTTGAACGAGAAGTGGAAGGAGATCTTCTTTTAAGTGATTTGGGTCAAGGAGTGCCCTTCAGGGCTGGAACATTTGATGGTGCTATTAGTGTCAGTGCCTTACAATGGCTCTGCAATGCAGACAAGAAAAGTCATAACCCAATAAAACGCTTGTATAAGTTCTTCAGCATGCTTTTTGCCTCTTTGGTAAGACTGTTTCTAGTTTTTACATCTAAATATAGGGAAAATAAAGTCTCTTTTGAATGTTTGCCAAAACACAGCTTAAGTTAAGTTTCCTTAAATTTTGAAATAAAGGTAAAAGAATTGATATTTCTCCTTTTTATTTCGTACCTCTTCTTATTTTGTTTTGTATCCAGACTGCATGACTAATTTTTTTAAGGAAAAAATTGGGGTTAACACCCCCTCCCCTCCCCCGAACATGTAACTGATATTGATTATAAATACAAGAGAATAACTGTTATTAAAAAATAAAATAGAATTGGAAGGTTTTATTCATGAAAATTAAATTATCACGAATTTAAGTTGCAAAGCCGAATACAGATTATGAATTATTTCAAAAATTTGTTTTGTTTTTTATAATATATCTTCTTATCTTACGAACATGGGCTTATTTCAGTATACATAATGTGTTGTAGACTCGTACTGCAAGAGCTGTCTTGCAGTTCTATCCTGAAAATAGCGAACAAGCAGAGTTAATCACAGCTCAGGCAATGAAAGCTGGGTTCTTTGGAGGAATGGTAGTAGATTATCCCAACAGTACAAGAGCCAAAAAGTTCTTTTTGGTTTTAATGACCGGTACTTGTATTCAGCTTCCTCAGGCATTGGGTGAAGAAAGTGAAAGGACTTCAGTGATTTACACACACAAAAGGTACCCAATTGATATGTTCTCTCTTGCTTTTTAGTTTTTCTTTCCTATTGCATTTGTTGAAATTCATTTTGTTTTCAGAGAACAATTGAAAAAGATGCGTGGCAAACCACTGAAGAAGAGTAGAGATTGGATTTTGGAGAAGAAAGAAAGGAGACGGAAACAAGGAAAGGAAACTAAACCAGATTCTAAATATACTGGTCGGAAGCGATCTGGTCGATTTTGAAGTTTTGACAATAAATCTATTATATACAGTTTGTGACTTTTTGTTGTTGTTGTTGTTGTTGTAGTAGAACAGTCATAAGTTATCTTATTTAGGAAATGGGAGAGTTCCTTATTTTTGGGTTACAATAAATTATTTTATACAAGTTTTTACCAGTTAGAATTGAGTATTTGCAATACAGATACATAACTGTGGAGTCTTACAAAATTTGTAATACATCACTTGTATTCTGCCTTTAAATATTGTTGCAACCAGTGCCCTATTTAGTCTTGTCGGTAATAACAATGTAGTGGAGCAATTAATTGAGCAATTTTGTAGCTGTCATGAAACGAAAACTTGTTATTCTCTGGTGACACCAACGAGGCACTGTTCCACCACTGAATTGAAGGAGCATGTCACTTCCACCGTCACTGTTTCATGGGCCATTTGCCATAACATTTCCACAAAATATATTCTTGCAAATAAAGATGTCACAACTGAATGGCTGACCTGAAACTAAAGTACCCTTACTTACCAGTAGCCAGCAGAAAAGTAATGAAATGAGTTTTCATTTTTGTGCATTTAGTGAAACTTACACTTATTGAAATTAAGTAACGAGGTATTTAATACCTGCTGGTCTCTGAAACTCTGTTTCTCAGATCACATGTTTTATAAAGCAAAACCTGCATTAGTTCGGTATTTTTAGATTCAAAGCGCTCTAAAATCAAAGTTGGTATGGACCCCTATTTTGGCTTGTGTGGAGTGTTAATTGTTAAGTTCAAAATTACTACACAATGAATTTGGCATAAATTGTTACGTATTCCTCTTAAGATACAAGTCAGCCAATTGTTCATTGCCAACCGCTTCAAATGTGTTAATTATGAAATATTTCATATTTTAAATGAGCGACACAAAATATTTTTTTGCATTGGTAAGACATAAATTTAAATTTTATTAAATTGCATACCATTTCTGAATCCTGCATGCAAATTTCTCTTTGGAGATATGTAAATGAAACTAGGTTGGATCAGTAGACATTCGTAAGATGAAATGGATAGTTGAGTTTGGTAAGGTTCTGTGGTTCCCTTGTGTCCTAATTCATCTCTTCAAGCGATTCCCCAAGGAAACTCGAGGTGGCTCAGAGCGAAGTCCCAAGAAGGTCGGGTTCGATTCCCAGAAAATCCCATGTAAAAATTGTTTCAAACAAGAGTTTGCCTACTTTACATGGGCTAGTCCAACCCCTGTGAAATGTCCTAATCATTACACCTTTCCTTAATCCTTTCTAATTCTGGCCACTAGGTAGTGACACAGGAGCGTGTGTGGGAGGCACCTACACGGAAATGCCACCTGGTGATCGTCTGGGCTACGATGTACTAATGAGAACTAAGTAACGGAGGATTACTCCATTAACATGGTAGTGAAGGATTACTCCAAGAGTGCTCAACACCCCGCAAGGGTTAAGGGGCATGTTGCTTGGTGATGAAGATGCTACAAATACCTGATGTGACAGTGAAACCAAATTATAGGGATTATTAATGTGTTTTGATTGCTCTTCCACATAATACCATGTACTTCCATACATGCCAATTACTACCTACTAATTTTTGAGTGCCTGCCCTTAAATTAATTGGCCTTATGAATGGCGTGTACACTGCAGCAATGAATTGTTGCAACACCTCTACATCAGCATTAATATTTCTTGTTTTTGCATAATTAGGATGAACAAAGATATGCTACCTTTGCTAAATGAGTGAAAATACTGTGTAAAGATTGACAAATTATCAAATAACTACTGCTTGGCTTTAGGCACCATGTAATAAATGAAAACAGCATAACAAAATTAATAAAACTTTTAGTGTGTAGGTGCACTTTTAATAAAATGACTTCAGATATTTCTGATGTACAATTTACTTTCAACATTTGAAAAAGTTAATTTGTAATGTTTGCATATGTCCAAGGAAGAAACATCAAAACTTCTAAAATAAGCTCTTAAGACAATTTTAAGCAAATTTTTTCTAATAAACTCCTCAGATACTCCGAATGGCTGAGCACCAAAATACACTTTTAAGTTAGACTTATTAATAATTGTGCAATTAAGTTTGAAAACTTGGTGGCAGAATACACTAACTTTATATTACAGAACTTAACAACTTTACAAAATATACAAACTTTACAAATTAACACCAAGCTGTAATATCTTTCACTCTCATTTCCCACAGTTTCACAACCCTACTGCACTGCACATAATTATTGATTATAATAACGATAATTATAATACTTAATTACATAGACGACATAGTTGCACTGAATTTTATTAAATATATTTATAACATATCTACATTAAAGAAACTAATTTATTTTTAAATTTGCCCAGGCTTTGAGGAAAGGGGTCGAAGATTGTCGCAGGCAGACCGTTCGAGTCTCTCATAGTTCGATCGCGAATGAATATTTCCCAACGTCCGTTTTCTGAATTTTGTGCATATGATCTGCTCTGCCGAAATCTGTAGGTTTCCCTAATCGATTTTGAATTTCTTTCCACGCTCGAAGGGCTGTGTACGCTTTATACATTCCATAGAGACATGACTTTAATCTCCTTTCGAGCGACTCTCATACCCCTTTATTCTTGATACCCCTGAAAGTAAATTTTGATGCTCTACGCTGGACCTTTTCTAGATTCCTTTGCTACAAAATTCTGTATGGGTCCCAACATACCGCGCCATATTCTAATAAGGGTCGCACTAATGACATATATGCTAGTTCTTTGTCTCTCACTGTACTTTTTTTCAGTATCCGCATAACATAATGTAAAGATTTCCAGGCTTTCTTTACAACGGAAATTGACTTGATTTTCCCAGCATAATTTACTGTCTAGCTGTATTCCTAGGTATTTGCAAGACGTGACTCGAGGTATAACATTATTGTTCAGTTTGTAAGCAGATTCATTGTAACTTCGACCCCTACCAAACGTGATGGACTTGCTCTTTGAACTGTTTATTTCCATGCCATTTGTTTCTGCCCAGATGTGTAATTTGTCTAGGTCTCGCTGCAAAATATCCTCGTCCTTCTCCGAGTTGATAATCCTATAAATTACGCAGTCACTGCAAAGATTCGTACATTTGAAGCTAAATTAGTCGGCAATTCAATCACGAAGGCCAGAAACGAGTGGTCCCATGACACTTCCTTGTGGAATTCCTGACGTGACGTTCCTCGAGGTTGATAAGTAACTACCGATTCGAACTTTCTGTTTCCTGTTTCGGAGTAGTTCGTTTATCCACGCTACCACTCTAGTGTCTATACCCGAATCTACAATCTTTACAAGACGATCGTGTGGAACATCAACAAAAGCTTTGGAAAAATATATTACTATCGCGACTTTTTCCTTCATCAACTACGTCGGCTAGGTTCTGTAGAAGTGAGACTAGCTGACTTTCGCATGAGAAACCATTTCTGAAACCGTGCTCACCCTGATAAAACCACTCCCTGCCCTTCCATTCTTTTCTGATAAAGCTTGAAATTAGATGTTCCATAAGTTTGCATACGACTGATGTAAGGCTTACCGGCCTATAGTTACTAAGTATTGTCTTGTCGCCACTTTTAAAAATAAGTACTACGAGAGCCAGCTTCCAATCTTTCGATACGCAAGCGTTGTTTATTGATACAATAAATAACCTAATTAAATGTGGTAGAATAGCCTCTCCACCTAATTTAATAATGTCCTTAGAAATACAATCTACACCTCATGATTTTCCTCTCTTTATTAATTTTATTCTTTTCCGCAAAGTATTTATATCAATATGAAACTACTTCTATCTTCCAGCGTTGTTGGTATCTGAATACTATTAGGTTTCTGCTTGAAAACCGAGCTGAAACATACGTTAAAAGCCTGTGCTTTTTCCCTGTCGTCCATTATTGGCGAATTATTAACACGAACAACTAGAATCTCTTCTTTTCTTCCTTTCTTCGAACGAATTTAAAAAATTCCGACCAATTATTACTGCCCTCCGCATCAAGAATATGTTTCAAATGACGTTGCTCTGCCATTTTGTTTTCCTTCCTTAATGCTCTTGAATAATTTCGATTTCCGCGCGTTTGTCCCACATGATCAAGTACCACTTGCATTTCGTCGTTTTGCTCGTTTTTTTACTACAGACGTCATTTTCTCGACGTCAAATCCCGGGGAAAATGAAACATTTGCTCCTTTTTTCTTCAACACACCGCCGCTCTCCCGCAGCATCGAGTCGCCTATCACTTCAACTTTACCGGTATAAGGAACATCTGACTGAGTACTCATTGGCATTCGGCCGCACATTTCTCGCCTCTTCATCGCGTGCAGCATCCCGCTCTTCCTTGCCTGGTTGGTTGGGGGGGGGGGGGAAAATTATATGCAAAAATTTGCATTGCAGAAACGCCAAACATTCCAGAACATGTAAATTGTGTATTATGTACAAAAGAAATTAATATATTTCTTCACAAAAAAAAATAACTCAGAAACAAAAAAATCATAAAATTTACACAATTCGGCTGCTTTTAACTTTCTTGTATACGTACATATATAGGGAATATATTTATTTCTGTCATATTTGTCTGTTAACACCACTAACACCTACACGACATGTAGAATTTTCTCCAGAATGGATAATTCCCTGGTCAATCTGGCTCCACTCGGGGCCCTGTGATTTTGAAAAACCTTCTTCAAAACTTGGGGATAATTTACATGAAGCCCCCTGGACCTTTTCGAAATTGTCTCAAATGCGGCTCCAAATTGTTCTTTAAATTTCTTGTAAAAATAGAGTAAAATACACTTATAAATGTGGCATAGGTCCAGTTCTCAGGGTTAACTCTGAATTTTCGAGAATTTTGAAATTATTCGGGCATCTTCCTACAACTAGAAAATTGAAAATCGCCTCTTCTTTCAAATAAAATACGTTCACCATAGTGAGTTCTTTCATTAAGCTCACGTACGTTTGTTTGAAAATTTTAGTAATTTACACGCAAAAAGTGGAATATTTTTAGGTCCTTCGAAAGCTTTTGGCGTTATTGACCATAACATGGACTATCAAAATTACCTTCTCATGGAATTCGTGGTATCGCTAGATTGGATATTCCTTAAACATCGATCTCAAAGAGTAAAAATACTATACTGGCACGAAAGAACATTATTTACTTATCTTTCCAATTCTTTACCAATTGAATATGGGGTTCCGCAAGGTTCGATCTTAGGTCCTATCATCTTTCTGTTATACGTAAACGATATGCCCTCGTCTATTAAAAACGGAAGAACGGTTCTGTTAGCCGGAGACACGAATGTTTTTTGCAAAAAAGAAAAATAGAATGACTTCAGAAGTTTCAAATTAATAGTTAACGAAGGAAAAACGGTTTCAGTGCATTTTTGTATTTCAATTCAGTAATCGCATACTACATTGAAAATGAACAATATGCAACTAGTTAATGTTAAGGTAACGAAATTTCTAAAAAAAAACCAACACGTCGAAGAAATCACGTTCATTAAGTGTATCATCAGCTCACTACCAGAAATCCACATAGAATACATGTACTTACTTTACAACGCATTACTAGATGACATTTAACAATTGAAGTCGGTACACAAATTTAAGTTAAAAGTATATATTTTTTTCTGCTGCATTACTGTTTCTATAGAATTAGAGATTATAGTGATAATGAAAAAGAAAAATAATGTTTACTTTAACTAAACAGACATATATAATGAATTAGTGAACAGTTGTATTGTATATATTTTTAAAACTTAATATGCTTGTAATAAATAATGCACTTCAGCTTCCAGGTCAATGACCCCCCCATCTCGATCAGGTTTTTGTCCAGTTTCCCTGATAAATTACGGTAACAAGACAGTTGTCTTGGCAATCGTGTTTTTAATTGATATAAAAAATGGACTATTTCACGTGCTGTTAACAACGCGAAAACTCTGCCTTTATTATAGAGTTAAAGAATTTGGTATTTGTGATATATGTGGTAAATGTTGCAACATGACGCCGATAAGGTGAGTTGCATAATACAACGAACAAAATAAAATCACTTTTACCACGCGTGTCATACTCTTATTTTGTAGAGTCTTTTGACTTTCATTCGTATAATTTAATTCAAACATACAAATAAAATCTATGTTATATTAAGGTCAGCAGTAGCTCATTCGATTAGACGAAAGTATTTTGTTTTTACTGTTATATTCACAGTTGTATCTGAATATAATGAATATTGTCCCACTTTTAGCGCTAGTGCCAAAAATTGAATTTCCAGCTCGCTTCTTACCCTAAAAGTAATTTATTTTTGTAGGAGGGTACATAATAAATATTTTAACAATTGTAATAAACACTGCTTTTCGTGTGGTACAGAACTCCTGAATGACATTTCTGCAAAATAATAAAGAACATTTATCTACATTTTATTCTTTATTTAAATAAAATGAATTATTCGCTTAATTGTTAAGTCAGATAATTAATGAAAATACAATTTATTGAGAAACAATGTGATCTACTTAAGTTGAACTAAAGTGAACAAGGAGCGCTGACCGGCGAACTACGCGAGACATCCAGAGTATCTGATTTGAGATGAACGACGAAGACCGGCAAACTGAGACACCGACCGGAGATACCTGAACTAGGTGAACGACGACCGTCGAACTACAAACGGTAATCGATGGCCAGCAAACGAGAAGGTTAAAGTATATTGTAACGTATTAGCCAGCGTGCCTCATGGCATCTATTTGGGGACGCTTGGTAGAGGATTAGCCTAGCCACAGGAAGTAGGGTTTTTCCGTAAAGGGAAGAACGCGGAAACGGGAGACACAAGGCTTTGGGAGTATCCGGCCTATAGAAACTTTTCACTGTTATAACAAGCGAGGGGGTGGCGTGACGTAGTAGGTCACGTGGGCCTCGCCTATATAACAGAGTGTACAGAGCCAGTGGGTGGGTTCTGGAGACAGCGGGAGAACCTCGTGCGTGTGCACAAAACTTGGCGCCACGACGGTGCATATGTGAGCCAGGCTCGCGAGGCTCGAGTCACTAGTTGACGAAGCCTGCGGACTTTAGGTCCTTGGGTGACTGCGGTCACGGGGGAGCGATGCTGTGTGCGTGCTCCGCGGTGAAGAGTGGTTGAGTGCCACGATTCACGCCGATTCTCAATCGGATAAGATCGCTCCTGCGATCGAGGCAAACCAGCCGTTGGTGCGCCAGAACGGACTTTGTGTCCCAGCGTGACATCCGGTCACGGAAGCTAGGCTTTGTGCGCGCTTCAAAAGTAGGAGTGGCGAATGCCACAATCAAAACCATCTTCAATCGGGTTTGGATCGCTCCCGCGATCAGGGGATAGTAGGTCTATCAGAGCTAGGGTGTAAGTAGATTATTAAGTGTATATATTTGTTTTGTTTTCTTTGTTAATAAATATATTGTTATACGAAAGCTCTGTGTCTGTGGTCGCTGTGAGTATCCATGACGTCACAATATTATAACCTCCTCACCAGCGAACTACGAACGATGACCGGTGACAAATGAACGATCGTTCACTAAATGGTCGTTCCGTATCGTACCGTTATTTTTCGGGATTAGTTTAATAGGACTAGTTCGTTCGCGGTCAACAAGGATCAACCCTTAGGTGCTCCGAAAAAACAGATTGTGATAGAAACTAAACGATCGGCCCTGGTGCTCGCGTGGGGCAGGACAGCGTTCGATTTCGCGGTGGCAGCTGCAACTGAGGGGAAGTTCTCAGAAAAGCCAGACAAATACGAGCTAGAAAGCTCTGCGTTGCACTCGGCTCGGCAACTGCGCTTGCTTACAACAACCTGCCATTTATGGGTGTCGTTATCACTACTTAAATTACTGATCGATTAAGTTCTGGATTTATTACACCGGTTGAACTTGAACTTGACGACTGTACTGCAGAAGGGAATAATGGCAAAGGCATTGATATCACTGTTCCTTGTTGCATCTGATGTAATATGAGTTGTTGTTGCGGTTGATAGTTGTTGAAGAATCAATTGAATTTCCCGCTCGTAGTTGAGGGCCCTTGGAGAATAGTGTGCGGGTGGTGACGCCACGCCGAAGATGATTGCCGATGGTCATCATTTCTGCACCTGGGAAAAGTTATCGATCGCAGAGCGATCTCGAGCTAACGGCGAGAGTCCGCCTGGCGCCGCGCGAGTACCAACCGGTTGCGCGCACAGGGCCAACATCGCTCTCCCTTCCCCCATCAAGAGAGCGCCAGCAGGACCGAATGTGTAGTGCACCGAATAGGAGACGCGGGTGTAACTTTAGAAACATGCACATAGCGGAATCAAGAAATTAACACTTTGAAACTTACTAACATTGTATACCGTACCCCAAGCGGGTTTGGTCTTATAAATTATTTTAATCTATCATTATTTTTTAAAATTATTATTATTTTTTCATTTCTGTTTCTCATTGTGCTGATATTTTGACCATAAATAAATAATACATGGTGTGCAAGAGAAGAATATATAGCTGTGCAGAATTACAAGGAGTTGCGAAGTTACATACGAAGAATCACATGTTGCGGCCAGCAGAGAGTATATATCAGAGACGGCACTCAATGTCAAACGGACAGCCCTTATATTCGTGGAGGGGAGAAATTCGAATCCTACATACCAACAGATACAACGAATCAGAAAGAAGCAGCCATTTTCGCCCACCGCCAGCCAATAAGCGTCGAAAGGCAGTACACTAATTGATATGGAGGGCGGACGTGAAACGGGTCATTTGAAATTATTTCCATTAAATTACGTCTGCTCTCCATTTTAATTGGCCTTTCGACGCTTATTGGCTGGCGGTGGGCGAAAACGGCTGCTTCTTTCTGATTCGTTTGATCTGTTGGGATGAGGGATTCGAATTTCTCCCCTCCACGAAAATAAGGGCTCTCCGTTTAATATTGAGTGCCGACTCTGATATATACTGAGTGTGGCAATTTGGAACCCAACAACGTCTATATTTCGGCATTTTTCTTCAAAATTACGAAATTAACTCTTGAGTAAAAGTGCATCAAAAACGACCACCGAGAGAAAATGTTTTATAACTCTACTTTTCTGTACTTATAACGAAAAAAATCCATTTTTGGGGGAAATTCGTTAATTCGCTCACACTTTCAATGTTTTTAAAATTAGTTCGCAAAAGCCCCTGTATAGCGCTGCTTACCAGGGTGGGTGATAATGGCGGACCTACCAACAATTCTCTTCGTTATACGTTGCGTTTTATAATTCTCTCGCATAGTAAAATGTAAAAGAAATACTCAAAAACTATCAAAGCTACGTTGTTGAAAGTTGCTGAATACATTCGTACATGAAAGCAACTTCTATTCGTATAGAACAGTGGCGACGCTGATGGGAAATATGGGAGCATTAGAATACACTAGAATACACAAATAATTTTTCAATAAAATCTGTTGTTAAGTGTGCTCCTTTTCAACATTTCTTTTACTGAATCATTACAGAAAATTAAAAGTTTTCGGCTCCTTCCTCCCCCGCTTACTGGTGAGGGAATCCGCAGAGCCGCTCGCTGAGCGGGGAGCCTGCTTGTGAATAGACACCGGCTGGCTCTGTGGCGCATGCGCACATGGGGGCATGCCTTTCTCCCACTAGGTACTTGTACAAGAGAGTAGGCTCTCAGCCAGGTTTCCAGCATGCGCAGACTTTTACCATGCTGCTCGTCAACGCCCCGGTCACTAAAACAAATTCACCTCATCGCCCTAACTGTGTGGGAAATAGTGAGTTTGTGTGATTTTCTGAGTGAGTGAGGAAATAGTGAGTTTGTGTCTTTCTTGATGGAACAATTAATGGAGATGAAGATTTAGTGTTACAGAGAATGTCCCAACAACTCTGGGTCCCTCCCACAATTTCTAAACGGTTCACGATATTGGCATGCAGTTTTCGCTCAACAATGAGGAATCACGAGGCAATTAATACGCTGTAGAGATCGAAATAGTAGATAGACATAGTAATATGCCGTGTTAGATATGAAGAGACTATCGAAAACTGCTTCAAAGCAGAAATGACAATGAAATAACTTTCAAGACCAGAATTATTTGAAGGACAAACTTGTGGTGCTACAACAGCACATACTTTCTCGTGTTATTGAAAACAGCAATGTAATATTGAAATATTGCATTTTCTGCGCTACTAACACCTCAGTTATTAGAAAACCTGCAATTCAACCAAGAAACGAGCAACGCACTTTTGCCCCCGCAGTTTTGTCAGAACTATGTTCATTCGCTTGGCTAATTAGATCAATACAGTTATTAGAATACATGCAATTGACATCAAAATAATTACGAATATTCTGGCAACTCACTCCTGAGTTGCCTTTCGTCGTAAAATAAGTTCCGAGAGCGTTTCATCGTTTTCTTTTATTCAATAAGCAGTCTTTTTTTGTATCAGACGATATTAAATGATATAACGTACCTCACCGGGCATTCTGAGAAGTACTTTATAAAAAACTGCTGCGAAATTCGTCGCAGAAGGAAGTATTGGCTCTCCGTCTAGGAGTTACACCACCACCACTTGGACTTTATAGAACAGCGTATCATACAGCCAACATCTCTTTTTTTTTTTTTTTTTTTTTTTTTTTTTTTTTTTTTTTTTTTTTTTTTTTTTTTTGTGGCTTATCCGAAGGTTTGAGTAATTGTAGTTGTGTTGCATGCAGTTCGCTCGCATTTCGTGGTTTGCTATGTGTAAGTGACTGGTGTGGGTTCGCGACGTAGCAAATCGGTTTTTGTGTTGCACTACGCTCTCAGAGGGGAGTGCTTGTCATCTTTGTCCTATAGTGAGGACGTGTCGAGCTAAGTATTTTAGCGTTGCCGGAGCTTCGTTGGTTTAAAAGGCTCGATAGGCTTCGTTAAACGAAAAATGCCTCAAGCATTGAGTTAAGGACTCGATATTACGTTCCTTTCTCAGTACTTTCAACCGTTTCCGAAACGGAGGGCGTGCTATGAGCCGTAGAACTTTATTCTGTACTAACTCAAGTGAATCCTTGTACTTCTGTGCTGTGATTCACCACGTTGCCGCAGCGTAGGTGGCCACAGGACGACAACACGTTTTATAGAGTGCGAAGCGAAGTTCCAAGGGCAGTGTAGGTTCACCCAAACGAGGTTGTAAGAGTCTAAGCCTTTGCTGTAATTTTGATCGAATTCGCCTGACATGTAAATGTCAGCGCACCCTTCGATCAAAAACACCTAAATAAATTGCCCCCATGTCAGTTTTTGTGGGTTTTTCGACGATCGACAACAATTAGCTTCTGAAAAATCGGTGCCGCTTTGTTGCGATATTTCTATTAAGCTTTGCAGATTGCTTTAAAATAAATACATCAGTACATTGAAAATACAAATTGAGTAAAATGTAAAAAAGGATGTAAAAATAGAATATTGGCATATTCAAAACAAAATTATGATTAAATTAATTATTTTTCATATCATTCAATTTTACTCGTGGCCAGTAGATGGTGTGATATATTTCTTTAATATCAAGCAGAAACTATGCAAAACTACTCCTTTCTTCAATAAATTGTACATGACCTTTTTTAAAGAGCTTAGTTTGTACAACAGACAAAGACAAAAAATCTGTCTCTCCAATTTTAAAGTTTTTTTTTTTTTTTTTTTAAGATATCTGACATTCTTGTCTCACTCTCCCTGTTCCCGAAGTAGTACATACTAAAACCTACAAAATATCATAGATTTACTTCTGCACAAGACGTCTTATGACTTTTTTTTCCTTTTCCCCATGTGGATATGAAATGAATGAATACTGCAATAGGTAAATAATAGAAATGGTTGGTTAAGGACTGTCCAGATGCTTGGAAGGAATATTTCTAGTTTTTAAATGGTGCAAAAACATACTTGTTATCATTATTTATAATTCAATACTATGAGGATTCCTGAGCTCAAGAAAACATGTTCATTTTATACTTCTATCATGTCACATACAGTTAGTTTTTACTGATAATTTTTTATGATATTTTTTTGGCAGATTGAGCATTATTTCAAAATAAATAGCTTTAATTACACGTTTTTTCAGGAGTATACTTTGCATTATTTAATTATACAATTATGTTCAAGTTTAGTGGAATTAAATGTTACATTTTTAAAACTGTTTATTATTTCATGAATGCATAAAAGTAATCCATTCATTTCTTTACAAGATAGTACAATCATTTTTGACATACTTTTGCAAAAAAACTTTTATATGGTTGGCAAGAACGGTTTGTACACTTTGGACATCGACTCAGAAATTTATTGGTCACTCGTTCATCAGCTTTCACAGCAGTTTCCACAATGTCTGCTAAACAGTCCAGGAAGAGTTTGTGGTCATTTGGGGCTGCAGCACGACGAATTGTAATCTTACCACCCAGCTGCAACAGATACATGACAAAAGATTTTATCTCTAGCAACAAAGAATTTTTGTAAGTTTTTTAAATAAAGCACACATTCTATAAAAATACTTGCTAATTTTGAACTAGCATATCTTCAAGTTACATAACCACAAAGAAGCACAAATAATATTAAAACAGTACTAACTGTTGATAGTTATTCAAGCAAATGTGTTAAATCTATGAGAAATAAGGCAAAGGATAACCACAATTTAGTCCAAAATAGTTCCTAATATCTGCTAGAAATTTTAAATGAAGCAAAGTTCATACACCTTGCTCTCTTAAAGTAGTTTTTTTCCCCTTTCCAATTTTGACTTCAGGCTCCTCTTATACAATGTTTCTAGCAACAATATGCATATATTAATTTTTCAAAAGAAGAATACTGTATACCCTGCCATAAGTGCATGTTTGAAAGCAGCTCCGGAGAGCTTTGAAAATTTCTTATTTCTTTTAACTCAACAAAAATTGGAGGTTTTAGGCCATTTTCCCCATGATACAAGTTGAAGAGTATTTCATAAAATTTACAGACAACCTCTATATATATAAATGGATAAGTTATGGGACAAAATTCTGAGACCAAATTCTAGCACCAACAAGACTGTGAAAGGTCTCAGTTGATTCATCATCAATTCAACATCTCAGGAAAAATAATAAATATCATGAAAGTTATTATATTTATTACTGTATTCAACATAAAGATGCTTTTAGAGATTGAGATACAAATTCTCTCTAAAATGTTCTATATCAACATGAAAATATATTAAAGAACAACAGAATTAAAACATAATATGAAAAATGAACACAGTGAAATCTCAGTATTACATTCATATTTCAAATCCCTGTTTAAATGTCCTATGTTACAATGTAAAGATATTTCACTTTTACGAACTCTTTATTCGAACCTATTTCAGTATTACGTAGTAAAAATATATGGATCATTATTTTTTATAATATTTTTATTCCTTTTGAATCAGCTGATGTCCCCAAATTTTCTGGAATATGCATTTCATGAAATTTCCTTTATGGTTGCATCCATTGTATGCAACATGCATTGGGTAACATATCGATTATACATGCAAATCGAATTAGTGAAGACCAAGTCCTAGTTCACTGTGATCACAGCAAATAGAAGCAGTAGTCATTATTTTTGGATCACGAGATGGGGAATCCCAACTTTCCCAATTTCAAATATTACGATTTTCTAGAAATTGTATTTCATGTCTCAGTAAATGTAGCGAACGCTGATTGCAAATAATTGTGTTGAGGTGGTTTCAGTTTTCTAAGTTTTGTGGTGGTTAGTAGTGGTATTCATAAAAATTACTATCTGATTTGCTTACAATGGAAAGTAAGAAAAGAAGACAGTTGATAGACAATTGCTCTGCTCGTAAAGTAAACTGCAGGTTAGAAAATATCAATATTGAATTTCTTCCTCCCAACTGTACTTCTGTACTGCAGCCACTAGACCAGGGAATTATTCATAGTGCGAAGATCTACTTTCTTAAATGACTGGTTCAGCAGATTCTAACCAACCTGATTGAAAGTTGGAACCAAAATCAATATCCTGCAAGGAGCACTGTTAGAAATTTCATTTTTCTAAACTATATATATTGTAGTTCTTCGGTTCAATGGTTTAATATTCAGTGATCCCACCATATGTAGAGTGGAAGTTCTTGGACTTAGTGTTTTAAGTGTCTTTCTGAGTTCAGTGTGTGTCATGTACACACACTTGAGGTTTAATTATTTATAAAGTCTACCTCTCGAATTGTTCACTAGCTTACCATTTCCTCTAACAAAATACAATCCCAAAAATGTTCAGTAAATCTAGAAAATTTGAAGAATTTGAGTGAATTGAATACATGTTCTGATAAGCAGTCAAATATGTTCTAGGAACTGCATAGTTGAGTTGACTTGGCTTTAGTCCGGTCTGAAACTGGTCAGGTACTAGGTACTGAAAAAGGTCATAAAAACTTTGTTCTTTGAGTATATTTTATGTACCCAGGCACTAATTAAAATCCCAAGCTTTTGAGGCAATGAGGCCATGTTTACACATAAATTGTACATTGGTGACATAAATAGCTGATTAAAAAGGGAAGAATGTCCAATTTTATCAAAAATAAATTGAGATATACATTTTCATCTTAAGCCATCAATCCACTGATTACCAGAAAATAGAAGAACGTTTGAACATAAATAATGACGTTAAAGCATGTTAAAAAATTTTAACTTGTTACATTCTGGCATTTGTTGTATACCTATGAAAACCCAGGCTATATTTAGAGAATTTTTGGTCGCGGCATGGTGCAAGTCTAATGAAACTGATCACTTTCCGGTGGAGCAGGTGCCCCCAGACTAGGGCTGAGGCAGTCGCACACTTCCTGTCCTCTACATCAAACACCATGCCTTTGTCACTCTGGAATTTCAAGGAACATCATGCATGAAACTGAAGCAGGCATTTGTGTGTCGCTGCCGCCAGTTGTAGCCAACGCAGGATACGATCTTTATTTCCACGGCGAAACTGGGTGGCAGAAGGTCATCTTCACGAGTAAGGTTCCCATTCTGTGATCGCCACTTCCACCTCAGGGGTGACTTCTTTGATGATGACCTTTAGCCGATGATTTTTTTCCGAACTGCCTAGTGTTAGAAGTGATTCCCCCCCACCGGATGTTGTATTTCCTACAATCACTATAGCCAAGGTTTAGAGTTCACTATAAATAAATTTTCTTGTGCTTATTTGTAATGTAAGTGAGTTAAGGTTTGCTATATCTGAGTTCATTATAACTGAAGTCGCCTGTATATACTAATTTTAAAGCTAAAGTTTGTTGTTCAAAACCTATTCCCAAAAAACTTTGCTTCAGCTAAGGATCATTTAATAAATATCAAATAAACAGTGATGAAAATGATATAACCTATGGGACATGAAAATACCCATACAGATACAATCTGAATGTGATAATCCACCTGTAAATACTGATATAAAATCATGCAAAATTGTACCCATTTTAGGCTATTAACATTTTAATTTTGCACGGAAAGATACTGGGCTTAAAATGTCCCTTTTCTGCATTGATGGTGTTTCGAGACTTGCTGCATCAGTGGGTTAAGGAATTAAAATAATTATAGTGCTTTTACCTCCTTCACCAAATCTTTGCCATATTCAATGTCCAGTTCATGGAGAGTTTCAATGTGTTCATTGGTAAATGCAATTGGTACCAAAATGAAATTCTTCAATCCTCGTTTGTGGAATCCTGTTCAAAATGAAAATAATTACATATTTCATAACAAATACAAATTATTAAATATATACACAAAATGATTCTTAACTTGGGTATTAAATCTTTATAGAATGTTGATAATTCAAAACATACTAATAGCAATGTATCATAGTATGAAAACTCCTTACTCATGAATTAAGAAATTCAATTTAAGTCTCAAAATTGAAATCAAATATATTTGCAATATCATTATATCTAGAACACTAAGGAGTTTTGTTTAGAAATTAATTTGTGCTTTCTACTCAAACAAATTTTCATGATTTTTGCTTAGAAGAAAGGTAACAGGCCCCACATGTATTATCATCTGCTGTTATTAAGTAGGTAAATTTTAATATAATTGAAAACACATAGTATTAATGCGTATCTCCTGTTATTTATTCATTATGTCATTTGGTTGTGCAAGACCTTCTACAATAAGGTCTCATGTTGAGATGTGAGTGATTGGTATTTACCTAATTAAAATTTATTTTCTCGTCACATATACTTATGTGATTACAAATCCGGGCACATCATAGGAATTTTATGCTTATCATGGTTCACGATCCATTCCTACAATACAATTTCTAACAATTTAATACATACATCAATGGGAAAAATGACTGTGCTGGCGATTAATACTATAACAAGCCAGTTTCATATTGTTTTTATAATATAAAAGGAAATTTTGTATATATTTTTAATTGCAAATATATCTATCAAATATTATATGGGAATCTGTAATCCAAAATCAGAATACATTGCACAAAGTATTAGTAATAATAATAATAATAATAATAATAATAATAATAATAATAATAATAATAATAATAATAATATGGAATACTCATACACACAGTTGCTCAATTAACAAGTTATCCATTTACATTATTTTCAATAAAATCCTCAAAATCAAAATAAAATTAATCCCTGCCATGCACAACTTGTTTAAAAACTTATCAAACATCATTTCATTAAATTGCAGAATTATTTTAATAAAATATTTATAACCATTCACATTACTTGGTCTTCCTAAATAAATTACATAGCATTTTCCCCTTTATTTGATTGAATGGTGTCTGCAGTCTTGGCATTGTAAATATAAGATCCTTGAATACACTACACTCTAAAATTTCAAAATTAATTTATGAAAAGCTCCATCTCTGTTTTTCAATAATTTAATGACTACTTTGGCTGCATATTTAACAAAATACTGAACACTTTCACCACTTTCTAAACTAACAAATTTTTTAAAATATTCGAATTTGTTACACACATCAAATCATTTTGCCCACTGCTTCCTTTCTAGTTTCTTTTCACCAAACTCTCTTTTCCCCCCTTCTGCTCCTTTTGTTTGGTCCATTTCCATTGCGCTACTTTCAGATTTCCTTAAACATATGCAAGCCCCTTACTTTAATACAAAATATGTAAAATCTTGGTTGTGCCATGTTGTAATATCGTCTTTTGTCACATGTTGTTTCTAAACTCTTAATTTTAATTACCCAGCTATCCAAACTTAAAAAAATTATACTGTTTGTAACATTAAAATAATCATGGCCCTAAATAAATTTTCATTTTGCCATTGAATGTTTCTATTTAAAATATTTTTTACAGTTTACACCAATTTATGGTGAAGATTTTGTGTCTACATCTTCTGTATTTTGAAATTTTTTGTATATAGAAATACTCCTCAAGTATATTATACTTTAATATAGTGCGAGCGTGAGTGTCAGTATGAGGTTGTAGTTAGCAAAGAGATGATAGCGAGCAATCATTTGCAATGGGTCTCTTCACAATAAAAATTCAGCGATTATAATTACACGTGATTCATAATAATATCTTAAATTAATAATCTAAAATTAAGATAGTTAGTAGGATTTCCTGCTATAGTCTACTAAAACATACATATTCAGATCTTGATAAATATAAAATATTTTGATTCCATTTTCAAAAACATGTTTAAATATTCATTCACAGTGAATAATGATTGTATTGTTCTAGAATGTGTAACCCACCTCATTTCATTAATCTTAGAGAATAAATTCTGTACGATGTGAAACATTATGGGAGGAGGATTCGATTTTCAATACGTATAATGTATATGTTGTACATTTCTGTAGCACATTTTCTACAGTTCTTCAGTATGTGCAATGTGATTGCTTGTACGTTTTTTATAAATGTAATAATTTCTTGAAATAGATTGTAAATTTGTATGCTCACAATTTGGTTGAATCTGTATTTCATAGTGCTACAATTGATTACATAACCATCAATATGAGACACTCAGAATCTCATGCTAGGAGAGTTGTCTAACAAAACTATTGATTTATATACCTTTAATTGCATCCTCTGTTGCAGGTTCCAACCAGGGTACTGGCCCTACCTTTGATTGCCAGGTAATGGCATAAGGATTGGAATATTTCATTGTTTCCATCACTGCTTGTACAGTTGCTCCCACTTCATAGGGATATGAATCTCCTCGCTTCACGGCCTGAAATAAGAGAAAGGATAGAGAGAAAATGTTTATAAATCATTGTTGTCATTTCAAGACTGCCTTCTTGTACAAAGAGCATGCTCCATGAAACATGCAGGAAAAGTATTGGAATCACCTCAACAAAACATCTCAAATTTTGGTTGTAAAATCTTGTTTTTAAAGTTTTTTGAGCAGGAAATTCACAAACGCATCAGACATTTGAATTAAGATGTTCTGAAGATAGCTAAGATTAATGCACATGGAGAGGAGATACACACAATTTTTTAACCAAAAATCTGTACGGATGTATAGATAAAAGTATGTCACCATAACTCTGTCCAATTACAAGCTTTGTGTGTGTGTGTGTGTGTGTGTGTGCATGCATATATATATAT